ATATATTATATATAATAAATATATATAATATATATTATATATAATAATATAATAAATGTAATATTACATTTATATATTACAAATATTACATAATATTTGTAATATTACAAAGAACAGAGGCCAATCTTCCCCACTTTGCAAACACCCATCTCTCCATCTAGTTAAAGCTTTCCTCCTTCCAGAGACACTCTCAGCCTCCAAGTCCTAGTGACAGCCTTACCACAGATAAAACCAAGCGCTGGTTTGTCTCCAAACACACTCCCCCAAGAAGCAGCCTCTTTCTGGAGGGCTCCCTGGCACAATGCAGTCAAAAGCCCCCAATTCAAAACAAAACCAAACAAAGCACAAAAGGAGCACGGCTGTTCAGCCGAGTCTTCACGACCCCTTGCAGGCGCACACACCCGCACGCCCAGGCTGGACACCCAGTGCTCCCACCATGATCAATGTTGAACAACTAGAAAAATATGCTCGACTCCTTCCAGACTCTGGGCCCCTCCTGGTTATCAGCCCACACCACGCTGCCTCATTTCCATAGCTCCTGAGAATCTGCTGACAGAGAATTAGCCCTGGCAAGGCTTCCCCATCCTGAGAGCACTCTGGCTTCTGGAATCACACCTCATTACAGGGAGGGAGGGTGCGGGGTGAGCGGGAAGGAGGGCCGCCTGTGGCCCATCCCTCCCACCTCCTTCTCCCCTCAGCCAGCAGATTCCAAGAGAGACTATCCACACTCCAGAGAGGGCTGCTGCTGACGGAGGAGTGGAAGGGGTTTGGCTCCTGCTCCCCTCCTCCCCCTTTGGATCTCATCATTATTTTCATTTTTTAAAAAAGATTTTATTTATCTATTTGAGAGAGAAACACAGCGAGAGAAGGAACACAAGCAGGGGGAGTGGGAGAAAGAGAAGCACGGGGAGTCGGAGAGGGAGAAACAGGCTCCCCCACCCCACCCCATCAGGGAGCCCCATGCGGGGCAGGGGCTCTGGGATCGTGACCTGAGCTGAAGGCAGACGCTTAATGACTGAGCCACCCAGGTGCCCTTCATCATTATTTTCAGGGAGCTTTATCTGCTCCAGGATTCCATCCCAATGAGAACCAGCTTACAGCTTATATTTCCGGGGGTGCCGGTACGCCTGATTCTGGGAGCACTCCTGGTCATTCCCGGGGAAGAATTCACTGCCCTAGCCATCATCTCCCCACCAGAGTTCCTCTGTCCTCCTGCCTATTGCTGCCACACAGAGAAGAGGCCAAAAGAGGTCAGGCCCTGGCAGGCAGTTTTCAGTTTCTGCAGGTGGGAAGGAGCCACTCCATGCCGCACTGTCTCTTTTCCCTGTGCTGCCTACAGGGCAAAGTACCAGCTGTGCATGCTCAGGGGACCCAGCCGCCAGCCTCACACTCGCACGACTTCTCTCCTCTCCTCTCCGCCCCTGCACCCTCCCCCCTCCCATGCCACAGTAATTCCCGAAGAAAAGTCAAGAATAGGGTGTCCTCCTCCAAGCAAGCTTGGGATGTCTTAAAATGCTAGGCCACTGGGCTGAGTGTCCTGCTTCACTCTGCCTGTCCTCACAACCCCCAGCCCCACCCCAGAGGGCCTGAAGTCGTTCTCCTTACCTTCTCTGGCCAGTTACGGAACGCTGGGGGGTGTTCACCCAGAGCTCGGCCCCCACCTCAGAGAGAAAGCCAAGGAACCGGCTATCTTTCTGTAGCCAAGGGATGGAAATCACAAATCCAGGGGCCAGACCTGGGTTTCTAGCCCCCACTACGTCCTTCCCTGGTCTCTCCCTGTATCATCTCCTGGCCCCTGCCCTGGGCCTGGAAAGTAGCCTCAGACATCAGGTCAGCAGGTGGTGTAGTCTTTAGTCTGGGTCAGTGTTCATAGTGTGTGTGTCCATGGCGGGGGGGGGGGGGGGGATGGTGACTATCAGGGGAACTTCACAGGGACTCGGCACGCTGATCTCGTACCCCAGCCTGGATTAGCTTGTCTTCAAACTATTTTACTTTATGGAATTCCCTTTGCCTTCTGAACGATGAAGATAACCAGGACAGGTATTCGGCCCAACCCATGCTGGTTATTGAAATGTTGAAATTCCACCTTATTGGTCGGTGAAGAGCTATTGTGCCAGGCCTCGGAAGGGTGCCCTCCTCCCCACCTCA